ATTAGAACTTATATTTGAATGTGGAATTGGATGGAATATAGAAATCCTATGGAATGGAATTGTACAACATTCATAATATATGATTCCATGGTGCTCAAATTTTGGAGAAATGAAGAGAGAGAGAGAGAGAGAGAGAGTTATTTTTTTATTTTTCAATTGTCTAGTTCAAGAATTAGTTTATTAATTTAATTAAAAGAAGGTGTCATCCATCGGTGTAGCTTGACTTTGGAGAATACCATAAAAAAAAAATTGAGATTGGAAGCATCAAGTTCTTAGAGTTAAAAAGTTGGAAGTTCGTGATGCAGAATTAATTCAAGAATTTATCATCAAATTTACGTAAAAATTCAAATACTTTATTTCTTTGATATAACATACATGTGAACATTTAGACGATCTTATTTTTGAATTAAAGAAATTTTTAATTTCTGAATAATTTCGCTTTCGTATTCCAATATTCGACCCCTATCGAAATGTTCAATTTCGGTTAAAATATTCCCTCCTACTTTATAACAAAGGAGATGTAAAATTTCATGTTTGGTTGTGCTTGTCTCATGCCATGATCAATCTGGCTCGATAATGGTCCACCTCTTAACCAGGAGGTTGTGGCCTAGCTTTTCTTGGCCGATAATCAATCTGGTTCGAATCGGATCGGATGAAAGTTCAATAGTCCTGCATAGCCACTAGAGTTAATTGTTTCAATGGTCACTGAACTTAGGTTCATGTTTTTGATTGATCACTAAAATTAAAATATTGAGTTTTGATCACTGAAATTAAATCCATATCCTCAAATGCTCACTGAAATTTAAAATGTCGAGTTTTGACCACTAAATTTTGAAAAATAATGTACATTACTCACTGAACTTTGAAAAATACTGCACATTACTCACTGTAAACTCGATATTTTTCAAAGTTCAATAGTTACGCTAATGAGTGACGTTTGATGTATTCCAAAATTCAGTGGCCAAAACTCGACATTATAAATTTCAATGAGTAATCGAAGATATAGACCTAAGTTCAATGATCAAAACTTGTCATTTTAAACTTCAGCGATCAATTAAAGGCATAGACTTAAAGTTCAATCACCACTGCAACTATTAGCTCTAGCCGTTAATCGGTTCCCCTCCACCACGATATTCCCGCTTATGATACAGCAAAGAGCCATAGGCAGTAGAGGATTCAGAATTTAAACACGAAAAGAGCATGACGGCGCATTTCAAAAACCCACAAATAATGTTCATCAAATATCTAGTAAGTAGTCCTTTCCTTTTGGTCAAATTTTGAAATCCTAATCGAAGCCAATTCGTAATTCTCTACAATAACCTGCTGGATTTTCAATATCCTCCCTTTAATTTTGCACACTACTTTCTAATTTTCTTCTTATGGTTGAGAATTTTAATGACCATGATGAAAAAGTAGGAGTTTTGGATTATTTGCCCATTGATTGCCCAGATTTATTTCTGCAGGCATTCTAAATTTGCTTCTTGGATATTACAATTTGGTTGCCTTACTCACCTGAGTGCATATATGCACATAGTATATTTATTAAAAAATATGATTTTTCCGTATTGTTGTATGGTTTTAGCTAAGAAGGTTGCATTTGCTTTATCACTCTTTCTTTTAAAAGAGAGGATCCCAAATTCACTATTTATTTTTGTCACCCTACTTTTCACACTTGAACCAAATTATTTACTGTTCATTATCAGGTTTTTCTCCCATTTACATATTTATCTATCTACTAGTCGTTATCACGTGCATTGCACGAATTTTGTATTTATCGTATTTTTATTAGTGTATGAATTTTAGTTTTTTTGGAAAGTTTTTTAAGCAATATCTAAAAATATTTCCATGATATAAGAAAGTAATTGTAAATTATTTTTACAATTGCATAGCAGTATGTTATTTAGAAAAAATATGCTTGTATATTTCATGCTTGAATAAGAAATATACAAACTATTTTGTTTGTATTCTTTGATAGTGTTGATATGATTGAATTGAATGTGAAGATTATATTTCTAAATTTTGTATAATTCAATATTGTAAAATTGAAAAAAACTCTCCGCACAGTGCGTAGTAAAAATAAAAAATAAAAAATGTGCGAAGAGAAAAAACCTCTCCGCATAGTGCGGAGAGAGTTTAACCATGTGCGGAGAGCTGGCAAACTCTTCGTACAGTGCGAAGTAAAAAAAATCTCCGCGCAGTGTGGAGAGATGACAAATCAACTCTCTGCACAGTACGGAGAATAAAAAAAACTCTCCGCACTGTGCGGAGAGAGTTAATCTCTTCGCACAGTGCGTAGAGATTTGATCCATGTGCGGAGGTAAAAAAACGTGCGGAGAGAAAAAAATCTCTCCACACAGTGCGGAGAGAGTTGAACCATGTGCGGAGTAAAAAAAAACTCTCCACACAGTGCGGAGAGTTGTTTTCAAATTCCTTAATTACAAGTCAAATTTCAAGATTGTAAATTTTTCGTATATACAATGAAATAGAGTCGAAAAACATGGCTCAAAATCAATTATGTTCTCTTTAAATTTCAATTAAAGCTCAATTTCTGAGCATGTAAATCATATTTACGGTATTGGAAATGAGTTTTTTTGTGATTCATACAATGAAACACTATGTGAGTTATGCAAAGAAGAGGATATTGATAGTACCATGGCATTACTTTCACAAATGGAGGCTCTAGGGTACCACCCAAATTCAATATTTGACACTTGCTTGATAACAGCTATTGGACATTAGAAGCGGATACAATTTTCAATGAAATTATACTTTCGGATTGTAGGCTAGGAATTAAAGTGTTCAATGCATTGCTCAAAAGTTGTTTGAAAAAGGACCTCTTGGAACTTACAGATAAAGTCCCGAGAGTTTTGTTTTTATCTTCATACTATGCGGAGAGATAGTTTGCCATCGCTTCGCACCTTGCGAAGTCTTTTTTTTTTTTTTCTGACGTGCGGAGATTTTTTTTTTGTCTCATGGAGTTTATATATACTAAAATTATTATTATTTTTTTAAAGTTGTTGGCATGATGCGTATGTGGAAAAATATTTGTCAATCACCATAAACAAAATTTTTTACAAAATGTAAAAAATAAAAATGCATAATAAGTCTTCTTATTACGCTAATAAAATTACAATAATTTTTTTTACAAATAACATAAAAAAATATTTTTATCTTCAACAAAAAAAAATTAAAAATTAGCAATTTCTTAACCACTTTTTTTTTTTATTCTCAAAAATACAATTATAAAAAATGAAACAATATTGAATTATAACATTTAATACTTAAGAAATTCAATATTAAATAATTTTTTTACATTTATAACAAATTATAAATCCATATATGTAACTTATCGTATTTGCAGACAGCTTACCGTATATACAACTTACTGTATATACTGCGTACCGTATTTGCAGCGTACCGTATTTGCAAATAACTTATTGTATTTGCACTGTATTTTCACCTTACCATATTTGCAGCTTACTGCACATGTTGCCTATCGTATTTACAACTTACCGTATATGCTGTCTACCGTATTTGCAACTTACTTATTTTTATATACCGATTTTTGCACTTACAAATATCGAGAATACAGAACACCATACATTCACTTACCAAACCGAATTTTAAAAAAAAAATTCAGATTTTTATTTTTTCAATATAAGCATAAAATAAATATTAAGGGGGTGTTTGATAGACATTTTTATGTAAAAATGCATTTTAGAATAGTAACTTGATGGGAAATGTGTGGTTGAAAAATAAGAAAAAGTTCTTGATTTTCGTGTAATATTATTTTAATAAAGAATGTGTGGTTGAAAAAGAAGAGAAAAAAATTGTATTTTGAAAAAAGGGTACCAAACGGGGGTATATGAAGCACAAAATATAAATGCATATAAATATGGTGCTCAATCTTCAATTTTCCAATATTGAATTATACAAAATTTAGAAATATAATCTTCATATTCAACTCAATCATATCAACACTATCAATGAATACAAACAAAATAATTTGTATAATCTCGTATATTTCTTATTCAAGTATGAAATATACAAGTATATTTTTTCTAGATGACACAATACTGTTATGTAATTGTAAAAATAATTTACAATTATTTTCTTATATCATGGAAATATTTTTAGATATTGCTTCAAAAACTTTCCAAAAAATTAAATACGATAAATGCAAAATTCGTGCTACGCACTTGACAGTCACTGTGCGGAGATTTTTTTTTTAACTTCGCACTGTACGGAAGTTTGTCAACTCTCCGCACAGTGGGAATTTTTTTTTTTTGGCTTTTTTTTTTACTCCGCACAGAATGCCATCTCTTTGTACTGTGTATAGAGTTTTGCCATGGTATTTGCCATCTCTCCGCACTAGAGAGATTTTTTTTCTTCTTTTTTTAAAATTCATGTGCGAAGAGTTTTTTGTTGTTGCTCATAGCAATTTATATTTACTAATTTTTTTAATGCTAGCGTTATGATGTGTGGAAGAACATTTATTTGACATAATTATTTTTTTAATGCTAGTGGCATGATGTGTGGAAAAATATTTGTTTGACATAAATAAAATGGAAAATAAAAAATGATGACATTATGCATAGTAAAATTGGATTTAAGTTACTATTGTATCAATAGTAGACCATCATTCCCCTTTTTATTAGAAGTTAGATATATCCCTATATCTTAAAAAGAATCTACCTTTTTTTCACTGTTTTCACATTTAGCCCTTGTTTGAGGCCCATTCTTTTGGAAAAATTCATTTTTCAGCAATGTTTTGATATCATTTCAACCACATATTTTTTAATAAAATAATATTACATGTAAATCCAAAAATTATCCTTATTTTTTAACCACATATTTTTCATCAATATAATATTCAAAAATTCATTCTACGGCAAAAAATGGGGCTCGAATAAGGGATTAACCCGTTTAAAACTGGTTTACTACTGTTCATTAAGTCATTGGTGAATTGCACTATTCATAGGCCCAGTTTATTCTCTCTATACTTTCACTATATATAAACAATGTATCATGAGTCTGTATTTACTATCTTCTCGTCTTTCGCACTTTTTCTCTATTCTCGAAGGAAGAACTAGAAATCGTCTTCTCGTGCTCTTCATTTTCTTCAACAGATCTGCAGATTAGCGCCGTAATAGAGGTAAATTTGTTCATTTTTTGCACATGGTTCCTCTATCTCATTCTATTTTTTGCATTTTAATTGTTTATGCAAACCGTTGTTCGCAATTTGTGTTTTTTGTTCCTCACACTCTGTCTCCCGTCGGTTCTTGTTGATTTTCTTTAGGTTTCATGTTGTGAAGACAGTGAAGTTTCGAGTGTGGTTAAAAGGTAATAATTTTTTTTTTTTTTGAACACGAACTCTATAAATTTGAATTTCTTCCATAATTTTTACTTAGATCTTCTATGGAAATTGTTATCTTGTTCATTTTCTAAAGTTTTTGTACCTTTTTTTTTTTTACTTATTTTGGAACACAAATCGTAGCACTGTACTTAGTTAAATTTTCAAGTTGGGAATTTTGAAAGTCATGTGGTTTTTTTAGGAGTTTAAGTTAGTGTGTTTAGTTTGAATTATTTATTTATTTTTTTTTTCAAAATTAAAATCTATGGCCGATATGCTCTTTTGGCCTCCTTGGTTTTGAGGACAAAGTATATTAGGTGAACCCATTTGGTTTTGGAATTAAATTCAGTGATTCAATTGTTATAAAAAATAAAGCAAGCCTTCGAAGAAAAATTGAAGTTTTAATTCAGGGAGATTTGTGGATTTTTACTTTGAATTTAGCAGATTTTGATGGCTCAGCCTAATTCTAAGGAACCCAATTGTCAGTATTATAAAGTGAATCTCACTAGAGGTCTTTATCTCAACTTTCGTTTTCCACTAATGATGATGGCTTGCCCCTGTTAAGTCCTTTTTCCAGTAGTGAGCTGTTGGCTTCTTCAAACTATAGTTTGATGGAGGAAACAAATGTTACTTGAGTGCCACCACTTACTCTATCCTTTCCGAGGAAAAATGTCTGGCAAGGTAGCAATGGTCTTCTCCCATGTAAAGGACATCAACGTTCTAGCAGTGATGTTCCATTAGGATTTTTGACTATGATTAAGTCTTCACCTCTGTTGGTGCCCATAAATGGTCAGGTAGTATTGGGAAAAACGATGCTTATAAGAGAGAATCTCGGAAATTATAAACCCGTTGGGTTGAAGAGATGAGAAATGAATAAAAATAATGATAGGTGTTAGGAAATCAGAGGGGAAAGTAGGAGATGATTTGTTTAATTCATGGATGAAGTTTGATAGTGTAGATTCATCGAACTCATCTTGCATTGAGGATAAAGACAAGGACATTGTCGATTGTGGCACAAGGATGAGTGGTGGTGACAACAACAGTATTGAATCAGAATCTATCTCAAGGCATGGGTTGAGTACAAGGGAAGATTTCAAAAGGAGCATGGTCGGGATATTGCGCCTCCAGCCAGACGCTACAGGTGTCTTTCGATGGATAGTGCTTTTAGAAATTTGAAGTTTGGTGATAGTTGCCAAATTTTTGGAAAATCTAGGGGGCTGGCTACCTCGAACCAATTCAATGACTGAAGGATATGGTAAACTCAACTTGGAGTTTGGGCATGGTCAATTTAGTGAAGTATGAGGGTTTAGTTTGATTTTTTATTTTATTTATTTATTTATTTATTTTTTGGGTCTTCTTTCAAATTCAAAATTCATGAATCTATGGTTGATATGTTCTTTTTTGTTTTCAAAGAAGTTAGTTTTACCGGTTCAATTTGACGTTTGTTAGTTGATTTTTGTGAGGTATAAATATATCTGGCTCTAGGATTTAACTTCTTTTCATTCTCTACCGGTAGCAGGTATGAATGTACTTATTTTTCTTCTTACTGAATAAGTTACTTAATTATGTTGAATTTACTTATTTACTTTTCTTAAAACATAAATCGTAGCACTGTATTTTCTCAAAATTTTCATTTGGAAATTTTCAAAGTCATGTTTCCTTCCTTAGGGTTTTTTTTTTTTCTTTTTTCTCTGTCTTATTTCAAATTTAAAACTATTGAATGTATAGTCGATATCTTTTTTTTAATTTTTGTCTAATTTAGATTTATTACTTAAATCTCTCATTTGTTCATTGATGTTCTACGTGGTGTAAACTATATCTGTCATTGGGGTTTTTGTTCATTCTGTTGTCTATTGGTAGCAGGTATTTTGTGCTCCTCTTAGCTCACACTATTTTTAATGTCGATTTTATATATTTGGGAATTTTCGTAGAAATTGTTTTTCCTTTTGCTCATATTACCATTTCAATAGTGCCTTCGAATGTAATTATTTAGTTTTTAGCTTTTGTTTAGTTTAACATTACTGATGAACCTTCATTGACAAAACAATGTGAAATTTATAGTATTATGAAAGTAAAGCAAACTATTGATGGTCTTCTGTCATTTCATTAGTTTGAACTTCACTAATATTGCCTTTTATTTAGTTTTAATTGTTCTTTGCAAGGCCCATCTTTATTAAAGTGATATTCAATGAGGAGTTTGCAATAAGAAAGTCTTCCACAAGGTAAGTAAAAATACTATGAATTTAATCCTGTGGTAGACTTTCTTATTGTAAACCACTCTTTGAATATTAGTGAAATTTTTCAGATTATTGTCAAAAAAATTGAACATTAGGTGAAGTAGAAATTTTGCGCTGATAACTTTTGAGTGATAAATGTATAAGACAGTCGCATCGTTATTTATTCACCAAACATTTAATTACTTCTTTTATTATTTAATTTGTTTTCCTAAAAAAGAAGTTATCTATTTTACGATTACAATTTCAGTTTTCGCTTATTTTTAAGAAAAGCAATATTTCAACATAGTCAGCCATAATCTAATTGACATTATAAGAACTTGAAGCAAGTATTGAACTGTCAATATTTCTTTAAACTTATAAGATTTTTGACCACCCAAAGTATCAAGTATCACGTAGATGGCGATTTTGGCAACAAAATTCATCTATACATTAAAAGTCTTGGATCAGTTTGTTGTCCTTGTTTTCTTCTATGATAAAAACTTCTAGACTTTCTAGGACTAGCATTTTTATGGATTTTGCATACGAATTTTGCATTATCATAATGAATCCGGAGTTCCATTATGTTTCTTTTGCTTTTTTGAATTTTCCTTTTATTCGAGTTACATTTTGATTGTTTGTTCTGCTTTTGCATCTGTTGGAGTCTTATTGCTTCTTTTCATTTTGCTTTAATTGGACTCACATTCGGAGAAATGGGCAGAGGAGGTGGCAAAGCATTCGTAGTGCCATTATGCTTTGATTCACTATTATATACATTTTTTGTGAAGGGATTCACTGAATACGTTCGAAAAGTTTTGCCACCAATTCTGTACGAGATAATTTCTTTTTTCCTGACCTGAGTGGGATTTTGTCAAATAATTTACATTTTCAACTTCATATTTTCTTTATTCTATCGTGAAAAGATTTTCCTCCCAAAGATGAAATTTAAACATTAATGCTTACTGCACTAGAATGGTTACTTTCATGATGAACTGTTATAAACATTATGTTATTTCAAGTGTTGTTACATTTCATTTTTTTTCGTCACTAGACAGTTGATTTAAAAGCATTAAGTCAAGTATGATTGAAGTAAAGGTAATGAATGTTATAAATTAGGATACTGTGCATAAGTTAGGAAAAAAAACCATTTGTTACTCTCAGCCCTCCAAAACTTTCGCCTCCAACTGAGAACAAATTCGCTCTAGTTGTTGATTTATTGGGAGTTTATCTAGGAGTAATTGTAAACTGCTTCACTAGGTATAAACAACATAAATACATTCTTTATATATTTTATACCAAGAATGTCAAAAACTTTTCCCTCTTACTATCTTCCTAATCTATTAAACAAAACATCTTATTTGACAGAAAAAATTCTATTGGGTGAACGCTCAATGGAAAGTCATTCGAAAACTAGAAATTTTGGTGTATGTCCTGCAACAACTGCAAGAAGACATCCAATATAGGCTTTGGAGAAATTCACAAATATCGCTTTTGCAAGTGTGAACACATAAAAGCTGTCCAATATAATTTATACGATTAAACATAAATTCAAATATTTACTAACAATATTACTTAATTCAAACAATACATAATGCATTATTGGAGAAAAAAATATTTATTGGGCGAATGTTTTTGTACAACTTGAAGACAAATTTGGATCGTTAGATGCAACCATCATAGGGGATACAATAGAGGCATTACTGGAAACTAATGCCAATGCCATAATGGACCACGTTTGAAAGGTAAAACTTAAATTGTAACATCCTCCAATAATGCTTTCTTTAAAATGCTATGACACAATATTGAAACATATATTTGATCTACCATAGGAACCAAATATAGAACTCAACAAAGTCATGAAAATCGAGAGTGGAACAGAACTATTCTTTTACGTGAAGGTGACAGAGAAGCGCCACAACCCACCTGAATCTCACTTTGAAATCATATTTATATTCAACTTGTTCAAAGCAATCACTGATAGCAATGCTTAATATGCAATGACTGAAATAAATCCTTTAACTGCCATAAGTGATGTGAACAACTCATTTTAAATGAAAGAGAGCTTAGACAACAAAATTATAAAAGTCAAAAACAAGATTTGCAGTCAAGCCAGTGAAGTTTCCACAGACACTAAAGAGGTCACTTCATAGAATGCAAAAAAGGTCTCTCTTCCAACCATCAAATGTAGCTATTGAAATAGACTCAAAACCTAAAAAGAAGACCTACACAGGCTACAAAATCGATGACCAAACCAATACTCTCATCTTGAAAGAAAAATGTGAGTGAAGACCATCTACATTAATTTTGTAACAAAAGGAAGTCATGCAATGTATTTCTTCTATAGCTATGAAAGAAGGGGCGAAAAATGTTCAGGAACCTAATGGTAAGTCTATTTGTAAGTCTCCCGAATAGCAATAAATTACTATGACATTAGGAGGTTCTTGTAAATATTTTAATTTCGTATTTATCCTTCCGATACGTACACTGTGAACTATGATCGGATCATACTAATATAATTACTACAAATAACATGTGAAACTTGGATTCATCATTAAAAAATAGACTTAAGTTGCATACTTCATCCTAAACATCATAATTATGTTAACACTATTATCATCTATTAAACACATGTTTCCTATCATTAGTATATTGAACAATTCCATTCATAGCTTAATATCATAAATAACGTGCCTCATTTTATGACCTTTATAACTTATTGATTTCTTCTTTACTCACTAAACTCATATCAATATTAAAAATGCTAACATCACGTTCGAAATAATCCAACCCGTGCATTACACGGGCGACAAACTAGTCTTGGTAAAAAGAGAGAGATAGGAATGGTGGGACAATTTATTTCAATTAAACGTCTTGGAAGATTTTTCAATTAGAATGGGTAGATGGAATGAGGAAGATGATGAATTATAACAGAGGAAGATGATGAATTATAACAGGTACTGATGATTAGTGTTTTTCGGTATCTAGATATATCTCCTGGAGCAGCCAATTTTTGTGCCAGTGCCGAGTGTCTGAGATACGTGAACCTACTGATTTTGCTACATTTTCTTATTTTTTTTTAATTATTCTCACTCCATTATTTGATTGATTTCATTGCCTTCATATAAAAGTCCATGTAGATCAAATTGGTTGTTTACGTATTATATGACTTTTTAAGTCTCATAACACATGATGTGTCCAGGTATTATCTGCTGCTTGTTGTGCACATGAGATATAATTGGTCAAAAATTTCAAGTGTTGCTTGGAATGTTAATTTTTCATGTTTAACTCTCATCATGCCTGACTAACGACAACCATTTCTGTATGGCACAGTCTTTGGTGGAGCTCCAGAAAAGCATGGTTATACCCAGTGAAGATGTGCTGCTAATATGACGGGCAGATGTATGGAAATTCTCGTTTAAACCATGGCCTAAATTAGTTCGTAGCAGCAGACTTCCTCTTCTCCTAGGGCGCCATTTTGAGAAATGAATTTTTATTTTTTATTTTTCATGTTTACTGCAGCCTGGACTGTAAATTTGATGGTTGATAATCATTGAACGGGGAGAAGTATTATGGACGTTGAAAGTTTCCACGGGAAGAGTGAATGCAAATAAGAAGTATCTTATTACCTCTTCATGAGAAAAGCAATGATTTGGTATTCCTTTCTCGTTCATATACCCAAAATCCACAAACCAATCTTCCAAATTTCACTCCTTTCCTCAATTAGCCTCCAAAGACTAAATTTTTCATTACCTTCCCGTCAATTTTCTTTCTCCAGATCATTCCAAAACCCAGATAATCTTGATAAAAATCCAAATATTTTTAGCCGCAAAGACTGGTTAAGCCCATCTGAAGTCATCAAAATTTTTGAAAGCCTCAGAGACCCAAATTTAACACAGCCTCTCTTTAAGCAAATTTCAGACCGCAAAGACTACACACCAAATGAAGCCCTTTATATGGCTGTCATCAACAAGCTGGCACTTGCCAATGATTTTGATGGGATTGAAACCCTCATGCAAAGAATCAAGCTTGAGAGGAAATGCAGGCTTTCTGATGAATTTTTCCGCAATGTTATCAAGATTTATGGGCATTCGGCTGGGAGAATAAACAGGGCCATTGAAACCCTCTTCGATATGCCTAATTACAAAAGCTGGCCAAGTGTGAAAACCTTTAACTTTGTGTTGAATTTGCTAGTCTCAACCAAGCAATTTGATGTTGTGCATGACGTTTACATGGGAGCTTCGAAGTTGGGTGTAGAGATTGACGCTTGTTGTTTGAATATCATCATTAAAGGGTTGTGTGGGTGTGGGCAGATGGAAGCTGCTTTCTCTGTGCTTGATGAATTTCCTAAGCAAAAATGCAAGCCTAATGTGCGTACCTTTTCGATTATGATGCATGGGCTTTGTGAGCGTGGTCTTGTTGATGAAGCCTTTAATTTGTTGGAAAGGATGGAAATGGAGGGTGTGGAGCCAGATGCAATAGTGTTTAACATCTTGATTTTGGGGCTCAGGAAACGAGGGAGAGTTGAAGAGGGGATTAAGCTTTTCGACAGGATGATGCTAAAAGGGTGTGATCCAAATTCGGGGACTTATCAAGAGGTTTTGTATTGTTTGCTTGATGCGAAGAGGTTTGTTGAAGCAAAGGATTTTATGAGGAAGATGAGTGACAGAGGGTTGATATCGAGCTTCGAGTCTTATAAGTTGGCGATACATGGTTTTTGTAGTGAGAATCTTGTGGAAGATTTAGATTGGGTGTTGAGGCAAATGGTAAGGCATGGATTTGTGCCAAAAATGGGAATATGGAAGCGAGCTCTTCATTGTGTTTTCTTGAATAGTCATATGATTAATCTTGATCATATTTATTACGAAGAAATCATAAAAAATTAATCATATAAGAACCCAAAGATCATCACATTGTTTAACTACTGCTCTTTGTCCTACCAAAGTAGTTGACAGATCTGTGTCTAGACTCTGGATAGGGAGTGACTTCCATTTCTCTAGTTCATATTGAAACAACTGAGAGGAGATGAGTCCATTCAATGAGTGAGGGTGAGATCTCAATGCAACTTTTGACAAGCACAGATTCAAATTTATTTATACTGTCTGATGTAGTGTGTCCATTGCTTGCACCTTCTTGCAGGAAACGGAACAGATTACTGCCTACAAGTCCAGGAATGAAAGGAACATATGAAGAAAATGATGATTATTCAGTTTATCCAGCAGATCTTAGGATGTTTTCAAGAATTGGCATAGAAACGTAAAGCCATGTAACTGTTTTTTTACCCCTAGTGTAAGAATATAGGTGGAGATCTTCCTCGTAGATTTAAATGAAGGAAATGTACTAGGCAACTGGGTGGCAACGATTCAATATTTCTTTTTCCGTTTTACGATTCAGATTGGAGATGACTCTGGGTTTGGGGTTGGGATGGGGGGTTGTTTCTTTTCTTCATGAAGTGCCTAAACAGTTCCCAACATTTAGATCGTTTGGCTAATCGCGTGTTCAACCTTCAAATTTCAAATACGGACTTTTGAGTCCCTAATGTTTAGTATTGTGATTCTCTCTTGTAGTGGGAACAGAACGTTGACCAAAGAACTGGCTGATGTTCATCAACATAGTTAGTACTTTGTACCAACTTGTGTAATACCGTGGAAACTTCGTCAATTACTGGTTAAGTGACTCATTTACGAAGTTTGGTCCTTCTAAAGATATAAATAAATAGGTTTTCTACTCATTATATATTCTTGAAATCTTACTAGTGTATATTGAAAATTTATTAGGTAAAATGCACCTGCTAGCAAATATGATGGTGCACACTTTAGGTTGCAAGTGCTCTCCAAGCTTGGTTGTTTACCTTGTAGATGAGAGACTAATTTTTTAAGAGAACCATCCAACCTGTAGTACAAGTTGTCTTCGTGACCATTTTACATGGCTTTTGAAAAGTTAAAAGGAGCTTTTGAGATTCAAAGTTGTTTTTGAACCCCTTTGGCTAATTTTGTGAAAGTTCTTGCATATTCAAAAGCTAATTTTGAACCCATTTGGCTAATTTTGGGAAGGTTCATTTGGTAGTTAGAAGAACTCTTAAAGGAAGTTAGTTCAATGTGACTTCCTTTAAAAGTACTTTCTTGAATTGGAAGTGTTTTTAAATATAAACTCTTCTAGAAAAAGTAAAATTTATGTCGAATGCAAGTAGCAAAATCGACCCTACAATTGAATATTTAAGACTTTACATATCATGATGTCACGCAATCCATAATTCACGTCGCAAGAAAATGCTGCAAAGATTGATGAATCCTATAACTACTTTCATTAGCAATGCACCAAGTATTCAATGTTGAAGCTAAATTCATATTCACTCAATAAAGTTATTCATATGGCACTTGACTTTTGGCAAGAACCGATGTTTGGTGACAGCAAAATAACCAGCAAAGGAATTATTTGTCCTGATTAAAATAGGTTAGGTAGGTAATATAGTTATTATCAAATTTGCTTTGTGCAATGCCTAATAAAAAGTGGAAATATCACAAATACAATACAATTTTATCAGAAGTGCACAAATTTACGAAAAGTTGTAAGCAACATGTACGAATACTGCACAAATTTAAGTAAAAACTTCAACTAAATAAGTCCAACATAACAACATATACACCAGACACAACACTATAACAACTAATATACCCAAACAACCAAAATAAAAAATAAAAATAAATCTACTGTTTACTAGAGGTACGTTTCAATCCAAACATCTTTCTGTATATGCCTTTACAAACTGTTATCACTATTCATCCGCTCTGTATATGTGAGTTAACTGGTTCATCATTTCAGATTTGTTATTGGTTTATCGTCTCAGAATCTTTTGTGATGGCTTTGGTTTTCATTTCAATACTATTTACTGTAGGCTCATTTCCTTTTGGAGTGATTTGGTTTTCTGTTCCATACTATTTATTGTAGGCTCATTTCGAGTTTGAATAATATCATCCTTGGACTTGAAAGAATTAGCACCCGAAAGAGTATTAGTTTGATTGATATTGTCCTCGATCTTGATAGAGTCATTGCCGGAACGAGATGCTGCACTATAAACAATTGAACTCGGAATAACTAAATCAGTAACCCCAAGTGTAACGTCTTTTGTTGATGGAAGAGATGATCCGTCAGAAGAATCATACTGTGAAGCAGTCTCATTATCTGATGACGTCGAAACCGCGTCAGTTCTAGACTGACTTGATTCTTTCCGGGAAAGTGCGTATTTCAAGCTTTTTCCATCATTCTTCAAAATGCCCTTGGCCATATCCTTCGCATTCCCTTTTTGTGGACTGTCTAGCCCATTTCATTCCCTATTCATAATCTTTTGGAGCCTTTGCAGAATGAGGAGTAGTAATGGTATCATCCACTATCCATTTCACACCAATTTCCTTGTTATTTAAGGCCCTAATATTAGCATGTGGAGATTTTACAGGTTCAGGCTCAATAAGACACCTGGATTTCTCCTTGGTTTGTGGGGTTCGTGGGCTCATGTGGAACACCGAGTTGAGTTTTCGTAAGCCCCTCCGAAATGGATTTTTTATTGAATGAGGTTTATTACTGTCCATATTTTCATCAGTGCTACTAGAGGTTGATGCTCGAGATCCAGCTGGATCACCACCTTTAGCCTGAACTTGTCCATCAAGGTGATGAGTTTCAAGGTGCCTACTCTTCCCCTTCCGTTGTGCAACCTCACTACCTGGCTGATGAACCCAAATCCCAGTCTTTTGTTGCCCTTCAATGTCCATTGGCTCAAACTTGTCCGCAACTTTGGGAGATTTCTCAGATAGTCTATAAGAGGAGCCTCTCTGAGAAGCATCATCTGTGATTGAATTTTCTTTTAGCACTTTGTCAATACTTTCTACATTACATGCATTTTCTGCACACTGCAAAATAATCATCGACTTCAGCATCTCAAAAGTCATACTGGATCATACATTTCGACCATAAACATAATTGTATATAACATTGCATTCGAGCACTTTAAGCCCATTTTATTCCAGATCAAGTCCCATCCGCTAGACCCTAATTACAGCTATCCAATATATACCATGAGCAATCAGATATAGAGCACTATGCTTCAATATCTCAAAATTAACCCTCCACATTAATTTCGGAGATCAACATATGCATGGTCAATGCCACAATTCATATGTTTACACTGTCTCTTTTAATGAAAGTAATCGTTGAGCAATGAATTCATTAATCAGAATTTCACATTTTCAACCCATCTCCAAAGTTCTAATGTGTCTTGATCATCGACAACTTGACACGTTCAGATTATGTGGGAAAATAATGTAAAGTAGCACTTCATAACTAATTTTTGCTCCCATAACTTCAAAAATATAGAAACAATTTGTTGGGCTAGAACAATGAACTTTAACATTGTATAGAAATAGAAATAAATTTTTGGTAATGAAATTCATGCGCTCATGAAAGTCATTATCCCAATTTATGCATGTCCAATGGCATCCCACAATCTAACCTTCAAACATTTTTTATTAACAAGCTTCCAGGTGTCTTTAAATTGTGAAGAACAAATTATGGTAAAATGATTAAATTAAACAAGTACCCAGAAATCATTTTTATTTTTTATTTTTTAAAGGAAATAACATGTTCAAGCTTAGTGTGACAGACTATTCTCTATGTATTAAACCAAAATAAGAAGTCTAAGTGTCAAAACCAAAATAAGAAGTCCTCAGTTGACACTTAGACGTGGAAATAATTTGCAATATAAAAAATAGCAACTCAATAAACATAACTGAAAAGATCCAACTAAGAAAAATAGTAGTCTAAATAACTTTTGAAATGTTCGAAAAAAGAAGAATATTGTTGTATACATATCATGTCATTCCTTTTTCTCATACTTTGATACCTTAAATCTTTGTTTACTGCTTAATACAATTGTTTGGGAGTGAAAGGAATCATTTTCAAGTTGCTGAATTTACAGGCGTAGACTAAAAATCTCGTGATTGCAATGGGTTTTACTCGAGGTGTGAAGCGTCCAATTGAAATGCTTTGTAAGAGACTGAATACTCCCGTTAATTGTAGCCATAGTTATTCTACTAGTCTAGTATACAGGGAAATGTCATGTACCATGTTCTTTGAAAATAAACCTATGGATACTTCCAATTATTCCAATCCAATGCATGGTATTGGAATCTTCTTTACTCGGAATTACTCCTCTCAAGCATCTGCACCAGAACAAATGAATCTGATAAAGCAGCTTAGGGAGAGAACAAGTGCTCCCATTAAAGATGTCAAGTCTGCACTTATTGCTTGCGATTGGGATATTGGCAAGTCTACAGTTTCCCACTTTAGTTTTATTTATTTAGTTAGTCATTTATTTTTTATTTTTTAGTTGTGCGCTTGTGTTAATTGATAATGAGTTGTATCGGATGACTACAGAGTCTGCACAGAAGGAATTAAGAAAAAGAGGGGTAGTTCTTGCATCAAAAAAGTCTTCTAGAATCGTAGCAGAGGGTTTGCTTGCTTTGGCACAGAACAAAGAGAAGGCTGTTGTTGTTGAACTCAATTGTGAAACTGACTTTGTTGCTAGGAATGAAATTTTTCAGTACATGGTTAGTGCTTCAATTGATTATTTGAGTTGCTGGAAAAATAATTATCAGTTGGGAATAGTATCTTTTGCTCAGGCAGCATATCAAATGCTTTTGTGGATGTTTTTTGATTCTGTATAATTGATATATATGTAGGCTTTATCTTTGGCAAAGTCAGCTTTGTTGCTTGAAGGATCGAAACAGTCTTCTTGTACTATGCCTGTTGGACCCGAGTGTCTTGAGGTGAGCATTCTTAAAATTTTTTTCTCCTTAAAATACTATCCATTTTTGTTTACGCAACCAGAGCATAATTTTGTCTTGCTTTCATTACCTTTATATTCTTTCTCATGATTTGTCTTAGCTTTTACATTCTCGGTATTAAGCATGCATTTCACTATCAACCTCCTTGTAACTTACATGCTCTTTCTAATGAAAGGATGCAAATTAGTTCTTCATTCTTGTTCCTCATTGCAACTTTAATCGACGATCCTGTAAAGGCTCTGACGTGTTCTTTGATTTTTATAGGATTTGATGATGAATCTTGAGCATCCTAAGTTAAATGGAGAAAAAACAGTTCAAAACGCAATTACAGAACTAGCTGCAATGATGGGAGAGAATGTCAGACTTGGAGGGGCTTTCGCAATGTTTGTGCCATCATATGGTGTCTTGTCTACTTATCTTCACCAGAGCTCCCAACCAGGTAATAGGGCTTCCATTCTTTTCTATGATTGACACTACAAGTTTTGCGTGCATGGAAAACACAATCATACCTCTTAATTCGTTGCCATGAAAAAGTATTTTGAGCTACTCATATAGATCTTGTTGGCTTCGTATTGGAGATTCAGGTGTAGGACGTATTGCAGGACTTTTATCACTCGAGGTAGAGGATCAAAATGCTCCAAGGGATGCTGTACAGCGGGTTGGATCAGAAATAGCAATGCATGTGGTGGCTGCAAAGCCACTGTTTTTGGCGAAGGAAGATGTTTCTTCTGATGCATTAGGCCATGAGCGTGAGATTCTCAAGTCTCAAGTATGTACTTGTATAAAAATTTAATTACAATTGCATCTCATCATGATCCACTGTGTCAATATTACTGTTAGGAATTTGACAAT